AATGGGGGGGGCAGGGGGATGTTATACTCCTATCCAATTCATTCTATGGAAACTGGGATTAGCTCCAGATGGGCCACTTTACCTGTATAGGGGAATCCTTGTTTACAATATTTGCCTCATTAGCATAAGCAATTCAGTTTCTGATGGAGCTAAAAATAAATCAGTTCTGAATATCAAAAAGTGAAAGTACAATTAACTTGGCCAATGAATACGAGCCTGATGCATTGAATACTTTTTGTGCAACACGGGTTTAAAAACTCAAAATTTTACATAAAATGTATGAGCTCATTAGCACCTTTGCCACCCAGAAATTTTGCAGTTTTTGATGGACTATTTCTCCTTGAATATTACACCCAAAGAGCTAAAACTTTCACCATGTACTAAGGTTTTCTAGCTCTTTAGCTGCCTGAAGTCAATTTGTATCTAACATGCTTCCTTCTTTACGCAAAGCCGTATGCAAATGAGCAAAAATGTAAACAATGACGTCAGTATGAATCCGCCTATACCAGAGTTCATTCTGTAGTCATCAGAGTCTTAACTCCTTTAAATGAACAGTATAGTTTGCTCACTGATCTTGAAGGGCTGGGAAAGATTTTGTAGTCGGAAATCAAGTCTTTTAAGACTTCAGAAGATGTTGTAAGGTAATTTCTAAGCTGTAGCAAGTGCTTAATTACTGTCACAGTGGGAAATGTTTGTAAGGAACATTCCTTCAGCTAAAATCCACAAAAGTTGCTCTGTTCAATTATTGTATCATTTATTTCAACAAAGCAATGGTTTGCAACAAAGCAATATGGTTTGTGGTTACTTTGAGTTGCCAATAAACTTTACAAGTTTTATTTACCTCTTGCTAAGACTTCACAATTGCACCGGCATGACCTCAACTTTGGTAAATTAAAATATCAATTTTAAATTTAGGGCAGTCTATCACTGCATTTGCCAACTGTTGTATAGCTGTAGGGTACTGTAGTAAAAAAGTAAGAGTTTTTACTAGTGTCTGGCTCATGATAGTCTACCATTTGAAAAACACAAGGGGCTATAGGGGGAAGATTTACAGACTAAACAAAACACCAGAACATAGTGCCTTATACAGCCTTCCTAGAACACAGGCACAGTAAGTACAAAAATGTTTGCAAAACTTTTTGCAAAAATATATATGGATACTGATGAGAAAGAGAGTAAGGATTAACTCATTATCTGATGTAATTAAGGGTGTTTTAAAACATTACCTTAGGCAATCAAAGTACTCAGTTCTCAGGATGTTGGCCCCTCTGGACGTAACAAACATTCTAGGTGCTATAATCCCTCTTGGTGGAGGGGGCCCTGGCAGCGACGGAAACGATCATATATCCCATATGGATACTCAAAAGATTTGGATGCCTCAAGGGCTTTTGAGGTTAGTATTATCATGTCACCTTGAGGAACAAATCTCAACAAAACATGTTTTTTTAAAAAAAGAAATTATAAATAAGTACAGTTTGTAAGTTAGAGAGAAAAACAAGTGTTGCTCAAATTTCTGATTCTTTGATATAAGAAATTGAAGTTCAACAATTATTTGCTCTTTCCTTGTAGAACAGTGGAATCTTATACTTCTCTGATCTGAAAATTGAAACTGCCAAATGCGAGAGGCCTTTTCCATACTGTAAGTTGTGTTTTTCTTTTTCAATATTGTTGTCATTGCTTTTTTTCGGTTTTACTTGTTAGTGCAGCAGAAGCTATAAAATGTGGATGATAGAATCTTTGAGAACAGTGGAAATTCCTGTCTAGTGACTATCTTGTGATTACCACTTAATCATTATTCCTGCCATTTAAATGTCATGGTAGAGGTTTAAATGTCATGGTAGAGGAATTTGCAAGTCCACTGATTCTTTTATGTTACATGGGCTCACAACTAAAGTGGGGCAGGATGTGCGGGGGGACACAGGGGAGAGGCAGGGAGATAAGACAGGAAAGGATGGGATGCTAAAGAGAAATGCAGAAATTCAGATATGAAAGGGTAGAAATAGGTGGTCCTCTTAACTTGCTTGCACTGTGTTTAAACAGAGACTTCTGCTTTTAACTTTGTTTTAATTTTGTGTGCATATAGGCTGCCAGTAACTAATGATTATAATTTTAAAGTGTTCTATTCATTTTTTTTTTTTTTTGAAGTGTGCTTTAAAAGAAGTTTTAGCTTAAGTTTTGCTTTAACCTCTCTCTTTTTTCACTGTTTGACACTTTTCCTTCTATTTCTTCTACCAAGACTTTCTTGTAATCCCTTAAATTACACGCAACACATACATACATTACCCTAGTCCTGTTTCACAAATTTCCATGCCATACGCAATAATGAATATATTCAAGTCACTCGTCTGACACCAATGAAAATCACATCAAAAAAGAATATGTTTTCCACTTATTCAACTTGCTGTGAAAATGTGAGTTGAAATTTTAATATATATTAATCATTCGAGTGAATGTAAAGGTTTGCCTACAAGCTTCATTGTAACCATGTACCTTAAGTTACCAACATGATTACATTGTTTGACTTAGATGTCATACAGTATCTTAAGGTAGGACGCATCTTCATCACAGAGCTCATTTGCTCAGGTTGCATTAACACCTCACTGCCCCATAATATTATAGTTTGATAATGTCATCTTTCATTCCTCTATTATGTCATTTTAACATATAAGGGTAGCAGATCATACAAAATATGGGACAATATTACACTGTTGTTCAAGGCAGATAATGGATGGAAAGTGGAGCAACAAAGTGGCCACACTACCAATCCATATACTTAAAATTTGTGTATGTCCTCCAGGCCTGCCTTTTTAGATGGCAAACTTTAACGTGAAACATTTTTCTTGTTTTCATAAAGGGCACTAACTCTTCAACCCCTATGAGTGACCAAGGCAGACTTTAAATTCTCCTTAAAATATCAAAACAGTATCAAACAGAGAAGTGATGAGAATATAGAAAAGTATCAATAAGGGGATTATTAGTTGATCCAATACAAATTTTTTTTTTTAACTAACATCATTATAAGAATTGTATAGCAGAGAGTAACAAGGATTACTAATGAGATCTTTGGAGTTCAATGGTAGAATGCTGTAGGATGTACTTAAAAAGTAGAAAGCGAAGTGATGGTGGAATAATAGATCCTTCTTCAGTGGTTTTAACATTTGCTCATTGCTCACATTTTACCTTGTCCTTATGAGGCTTGGAAAAATACTTTACAAATAAGACTCTTGCTCTCAAATATTTCATAAATGCTTTAATAAGCCCTCTTCCGTTAATTCACCTCCCCTCAAGAAACTCAAAAACTATAGGGGTACATGGGCAAAATTTGAAGCATACTGTGCAAATGGCACTACTGTCAAATTTCATACATATTGGATAGGTACATGTAGCATTTCAATTTAGTTGTAAGCCTGTACTTAGTTTTGAATGTTAGCTTTTTTCATAGTAATATACACTGTATGTTTATTTAGGGTGATTGACAATTCAGAGGAAAAAGAGCCTCTCATATTTTGTTTCCCAATTAGTTTTTGATACATCTCCACTTTCCAAAAACCTCTCATATAATTGTCATGCATTATTAAGAAGTACAGTCACGTACACAAACTGAAACTTTTTCTTCCTTAAGGATATGCTCCATGGGTGTTGGAATAAATTTCTGATGCAGTTTACTTTACTAAAGTAGAGACATCTATGTGATATGGTGATTACGCAGATGTATGTAAACTTGTAGGAGGAGGCCATAAATGTCAACACATATAACCCAAGGTTGTCCAAATTTATAATTTCTTTGCTAATATATATCAATTTTTTGCCCGCTAACATACACTTGAGTGCTTTTTGCACAAACTCTTATTTTTGCACCAGCATATTTAATGTTACAGTATTTGATATACATGTACAAATGCAGTATTGACGTTTCAGAAATCAAGGTACATTTCATGATTGAGTTTGTAAGATACGTGAAAAAAACTCAATTGTTCCTATGGAGGTGCATTACATCTGTCTTCCCCTTGTTCCTGTTATGTGAAAGTTACACTCGTGATAACCTTTTCTGAGGCATGTTGACAATCACTGACACAAATTTGATATACTGATTTTGATATCCCTCCTATGTCACAGTATAATCTAGCTGACAATTTAACAGTTTGTGTTAATTGTTATTGTGAGAGAAAGGAGCGACTTATGTTTAGGCGCTACTTTTAAAAGAACCCTTGGAGTGAAGCTTTATAGAAGAAATTCCTTTCTACAGATGAGGTGAACTTTATTTTCCTAAACTGTATGAAGAGACATGGTATGCACAATCTGCCTCCCTATCTTTGGTGTATATTTAATACCAGCAAATTCTCAGGGAAACCTGATGAAATATTGGGTGGGGGTATTTGCATGATTGCTTTGGGGGAGGGGGTGGCAATACTCAACCCCACTTGTATTGAACTGAGGAAACCAGTGTTGGCCCTCAAGTTGAGACAAATTTCTAACAGAGGAAAAAACCTTTGAAATTACCCAAAACACAGCCCAACTGACTCATTGCATTTTGGCATGTAAAAATGCATGCTTCTTTCAGATCGTTTTTCAGGGAATCATGGTCCGGTTGCAACCACCATGATTGGCCCTCTTACAGAGAGTGCTGAGGAGGAGTCACCCGAGACTGACAGTGACACTGACACTCCCAGAGTGAAGACAGGAAGTAAAACAAAGTCCGTCAAAGTCCGTAAAGAATTTCCAGAGACTTGGCTCTGGACTGAAGATGTAATCAAGTAAGACCTCACAACCTGTCGTTGTGTCACTTGTTTCATGGATCTGAGGGACTGCTAGTGTGTTGATCTGTATTTTATTGAAGCTCTTATCAGCCTCTTAGTGTACATTTTTGTTTAAATATGTCACTTGAATGTCATTTTACCCAAAATGGACAGAAATTGACCAAGGCCTGAGCTTGTAGCAACTGCTGGTTTCTACTGGTATCTGCTGATCACTGAAAAACACTGTTAAATGATGTTGTGTAAAATCTGACGGCATCAGTTCTTTTTGGGACTACTTACAACGCACTCACTAAACTTATTTTCAATTTTGGTGGGTGCAAGGCAAGTGCAATTACCTGTTCATTCAGTGCACTATGCCTCTAATGTTTTTACTCCCAGTAGACAATGATATATAGATTTAGCCAAGCTTAATAGCGGAGCTCGCATTTTTTTCCCGCACATCTCACCAACAAAACTAACTTGTGCATGCATATTCAGATACCATTGCGAGGATGAGCCCGCACAGCTGCCTGCTGCACATGCTTGACGTACCATCCACTAAATTGATCTCGAACCCAGAGTCTCCTCAGCTATGTAGAATTGTAGCGCACGCGTTATGCTCAAACACCCACTGGACAAAACTAAAGCCATAACGTCGGCGTGCCTGCGGTACAGTTGACCGCGCATGCTAAAAGTAGCACCTTGTACGGACAGCCGTACGGTCATAAGTCCAAATTTTTTCGGCTTGATGGGCTACTACTACTATTTTGTATAAGTATGGGGCTACGCTGCGCGCGCTATGAGCTCCACTATTAGTTGTCAATTACTTACAGAACTACATGGAATGGGATCCGTGTCAAAGTTTTGAAAATCCTAAAAATTCTTTTGGATTCTATTAGCTGTTAATTACTTACAGAATTACTTGGTGTGAAAGCTCTTATAATGATGCACAGTCAGGTCTACTTTGCTTCGAGAGTATGTGTACAGGGCTACTTACAGAATTACTTGGTGTGGGAAAAATGGGAAAGCACAATCAGGTCTATATTGACTGAAGGGTAGTGTACAGGGTTACTTCATTACTTATTCATATTGGATCAAGCCTGTCCAGAAAAAATATTTTAAGAGCTATCCTCAATTTATGGCCGGAAGAAAGGGAGTACAAACAAATCAAGAGGTGAACACAAATTCCAAACAGGCTCTCCAGAAGGACAGTAAACTGCTTATACGAATTCACTCAAAATCCACGAGGCTTTGTTAAGGGAGAGAGGGATGCAAGAAAATACCATGTGTGTACAAAAGTTTTGCATTTGCCAAGGCCATAACTCCTTTGGCTGAAGAGGAAGACTTTTTCCATCTAAGAGGAAATTCATTTTTTTCGCCATCGAGGAAAAAGCGCATCATCAAAAACAGAAGTTCATTCTGCAGTTCTGGTTTGGTTTTTTTGCCCATTCTTTGTACACTGAACCTACTCCTCAAGAGGAAAATAGACTCCTATCAAAGATGGATAGAGAAGTTGACTTTGTAAGTGGATTTAAGGCAGTTGAATTTCGAGCATATGTTTCTGACGTACTATTCAATCCTATGAGCTGAAAAGCAATGACATCAGCTTTTGTAGGAGGAGGGCTGTACTTTGCACTGATTGGGAATCAATAATGAAGGTACACCCGGCTAAAGATCGCTGTTTTATTTGTCGTATAACCCAATCCTTCATTCTGACTGAACAGTGTACCAAACTCTCTGTTAGTCCCCTTGTGGTGATTATATTCATCTTTACATTCTCGTTATCACTCTGTCCGTAAGCAGTAATTTTCACCTGATCTTCTGTCTTGCATAAGGAGCAAAGTGTAACATGAAATTACACCAGACTCTCTAGCAACTTTTACAGACATTATTCAGTTTCTGAATTAAAACTTTTCAGTAGAAAGTGCATAATAATTTAGCGAAAGATGTTGTGCTTCTTTTCATGAGCATGGGGCAAAGGAAAAGTCTGAATTCCTCTGAGGAATAAAACCCTGGACCTTGGGATTCCTCGCTCTTATGATCCACCTCTGAACTTGAGAGAACTCTATGGAGTGTTAGACCAGTGTACGGTTCCTCTGTGATATGTATCCTGCAATAGTCTCAATTTTTTCTCTCATTTTTCTAAATTCAACTACTGAGCTTAAAGTCTGCCATGTTTCTTAATTTGCATAATAATCTTCAACTAATTTGCATTTATGCATTTAACTGAATATAATAGCAAAACTTTCGCGTTGTCACACTGTTTTGGCAGCTTTGCCAAATAATAATACATTTTGGGTGAGGTGATGATAAGCAAGTCTGGACTCTGATCAAAAGGGTTGGTTCAGACTTTGGTAAGGGTCATTGTGCTGTGTTGCTGAGAAAAGCCCCAAACCTACACCCTGTAGTACCAATGAATTAGTAGGTATGCCAGCTAGCATCCCATTTAGGAAGAGGAGTGGTACCCCTTTCTCCCTAGTTGCTTGACAGGGTTGAAATGGGATAAGGTCCAGCAACTTTCCTAAGGAGGAGAAAAAAACTATGAACTTACCCTAAACACAGCCCAACTGAGTCAGTATTTTGGCATGTAAATATAAATGCATCTTTCAGATCGTGATTCAGGGTTCGGCAGAGCTCTGCCAATGGTTACGAACATCATGGCTGTCCCTGAGATGAAAGAGGATGACTCATTGTTTACAAGTGTCACTGACACTCGCAGAGTGAAGAAAGGAAGTGGAACAAAGTCCGTTAAAATCCGTAACGAATTTCCAGAGACTTGGCTCTGGACTGAGGAAGTAATCAAGTAAGACTTCACTACTTGTCCTTGTATTACTTTCATAAAAGATCTGAAGGACTGCTGGTGTGCTAATCTGTATTTTCTTCAAGCACTTATTATGATTTTAATGTACATTTTTGTTTAAACATGTCACTGAAATATCATAAAGGGCTGGACACAGCATATTGAAATGTTGTTTGTGTTTTGGATAAGAAGCACTTTGTATACAAGGCTCTCATTTTTACCTAAAAATCGGCAGAAATTGACTAAGGCTTGAGCTTGTAGCAACTGATGGTGTTTGTTGATTACAGGCAACACATTTTTCAAATGATATTGTTTAAGATCTGTCAACATCATTTTTTTCAGGAGTACTTCTAACTCCCCTACTAACATTTTATTTCAGTGCAATTACTTGTTCATACTACCCAGTTTGCATCCAATATTTTGATATTTTGATTCCTATAAGGCTAATTAAACTTAGTAATTAATGGCGCAAAACTACTTGGTGTGGACAAAGTATGAAAGTGCTAAAAAGGAAGAGATGGAAGTACAAGGCTACTTCATAACTTGTTCGTTTTGGATGGACCCTGTATAGAGAAGTAGACTTCTAGAAATAATTATCAATATATGGCTGGACGAAAGGAAGTTCAAATAAATGAAGTGGTGCACCAGATGGTGGCTATACACAAGTACCAAACTAGCTCTCTAAAAGGACAATAAACAGCTTGGCTTTTTCAAAAGAGAGAAAGAAAGAAATTGTCCCTGGATACTTGGTTGACTTTGTCAAGACAAGGCAAACCATGAAATTATCAATTGCCCACAAGACTTTTGCTTTAGACCATGGCTATCTTTGCAGACGTGGAAGATTTTTCTTTCTTGAAAGTGGAAGGGCACCTTGTACACTGGTCATCGAGGAAGAAGCACATCATGAAAGATAGAAGACACTTTTTACAAGTTTATGGTTTGGTCTTGGATTTTTTCCTTATTATTCTATGCACACCCACCTTGCCTTATGAGACGAAACGTCTCTCCCAGCCTAGGCTGCGATTCAAAGAGACATGGACTTTATGCAAGTTCAGAGCACAATTCTGGAGCTTTTTTTCTCTCATCTGCCCTATGAACTGGAAAGAGGTGATAACAAGTTTTAATGAAACGTGCTGTGTGCTGTCCACATCTTTGTAATCAAGGAAAACTCACTTGGTTAAGTAAAAGAAAAGAAGAGTCCTTGTTATCTGTTTATCACTTAATCATGCATTCTGCCACGACATTGTTCCTAACCCATTATTCTCTGTGTTCTTGACATCACTGTCATTATTTAATGATTTCACTCTTCGTGTAATGTATTAGGAAACTTGATTTTGAGAGTGGTGTTACAAAGAATTGCAGCAGAATTTTTGTTAACTCTAACAGGCATGATCCAGTTATTGAAAAATAGCTTTTCTTAGAAATTATTAATTTACTTTGTATGGCTAATTAGTAGTTGTGCATTTAATTCGCTATCATGGTAACCAACCATTTACTCTGTCAAGTTGCTTTTTTTTGTGAGGTGTAGCAGAATAGTGATACTGTTTCGGCAAGGTGGGGTAGTTTTGTGATAAACTAGCAGAACTCCTACTGAAAGGTCCTATCCAAGGTGTGGCAAAGGTTATTGTGCTAACTTCTGGGAATGGAATCTTTACTCTCGATACCTCTGTCCTCCCCGGAGTTTACATGGATAGCACTCAACTACCAGGAAAACCTTAAGGAATGCTACTTCATGCATCCCATTCAGGGTGAGAGGTGATACTCCTGTTAAAACTGGGATGAGCTTTAGCTGAGAACATCACTTAGCTGGTATGATTTTTGCGATTTCACGATATTATTTCCATATTTTAGGGCGCCATCGTCGACCAATGCCTCTACGTTTGTGGTCATTTAGTCTAGCGTTGCCCTTTGCTAGCACTGCGAATGTTGGGAGTTAAAGCGAAAGAAACAAACAAAATAACAAACCAGAAATTGAGGAAAAGGAAAGGAAGCCTGTAACTGTTCGCAAGAACTTTCCCGAGACATGGCTCTGGACGGAGGAAGTAATCAAGTGAGATAAGAATAACTTAGCCTAAACACCTAGACTTAATCACCTGAGTTGGAGTTTTCAACAAAAATCTTATTCCCTTTTGACAAAACCGATCTTTTATTGCACCAGTTTTTCATATTCTATTATAATGATGTTGGGGGTTTTACAGCTCGCTTGGACGAATTTACAAGAGGTGCCAAGACTCTGTACTTTTCTTCTTTTATTCTCTTCTGGAGAGCTACTACAGCAACGCTCTATGCGCGAGGAACCAACGCTTTAAGTAGGAAAATCGAAGACATGTTTGGGGTTAGCTGACCGTGAGAGTTTCCACAGTGTTGACAAGGAAGAGTTATTTTCGAGATAGGAAGGGTACATTGGGCATAGGTTATCAAGGAAGAAGCCCATCATGGAAGATAGAAGACATTTTTTCACAAGTTTATCATTCAAGCGTGGATTGTTTTTCATATTATACTGTGCGCACTGAACTTTCTCTGTGAAAAGAATCATTTCTTCCATTCAAGTCTTCAACTTTTTCAAGTAAAATTTATGCAAGTTCATAGCATATATCTGCAGAAGTTGTTTAACATTTCTGTCCGATGGGCTGAAAAGCGGTGATCTCAAGTTTTGATGAAGCGTCCTGTGTGTTATCCACTTGTAATGATGAAGGAAAAATCAATCGCATGATTAAGAAATAGAGAAGAAGAGCCTATCATATAAATCTATTACTTATTCATACATTCTGCCGCGAAGCTGTTCCTAACTCATTATTCTCTGTATTCTTATCGTCTCTGTTATTATTTCTGATTTCACTGGTCGTAGTTCATTAAGAAACTTGATTTTGAGCGTGGTGTTACAAAGAATTACTTCAGCCTTTTTGTTAACTCTTACTCTAAGTGACAACTTCAAATGACTGAAAAATAGCTTTAACTTATCAGAAATTACATAGTTTTACAGTATATGGCTAATTTTCACTAATGTGCATTAACTTACAATGGTAACCAACCATTTGCTCTGTCAAGTTGCTTATTTTTGTGGCTTTGCGGAAGAATGATACTGTTTGGGCAAGTTGGTGTTGCTTTGTGATAAACTAACAGAACTCCAGCTGTGAGGACTGGTTCAAAGTGCTGGGAAAGTAACCTTACTCTCGCAATAGCTCTGTCCACCCAGAAGTGTTAGTAGGTAGCAATGGACTAGCTGGGAAATCTGAATGAATGCTACCCAGCATCCTATTCATGGTGAGAAGTGAATACTCCTGTTGAAACTAGGACGAGCTGTAGCTGAGTGCATCACTTTGCTGGTATGACTTATGTAGTATAAAGATTACATGTCCATATTTTAGGGCGCCACCGTCCCACAATAGCTCTGAGAAGGGGTTCAGCTGGTCCAGTGTTGCAATATTATCGTAAGAGATTCACGGTGAAAGGATTCAAAAGAAACAAACAAAGGAACAAACCGAAAATTGAGAAAGAAGAAAAGAAGTTTGTAACTGTTCGTAAGAACTTTCCTGCGACATGGCTCTGGACGGAGGAAGTAATCAAGTAAGAGAAGAATAACACACCTTAAAAATCTTTTGTGGAATTTCAACAAATTTTTCTATTTTTTTTGCGACACCGGGTTCGCACGGGTCCTGGAAAACATAGAAGTTCTTGGAATTTTATTTAGACATTATCTTGGATTAAAAAGTCCTCGATACAGACTACAGGTCCTGCAAAGTCCAGGAAATTTCCCTAACTCAAGCAATAAAGTTTTCAGTTATAAGAAATGTATGTAGACCGGAAGGAGAATTGAATTGAAAATCTTGGGAATGAAGGGCTTTAAGGTGGAATTTGGAGTCCAGGAAAAATCAATCTGAGTCGTGGAAAAGTCCTGAAATTTATTTCTGAAAATGGGGACGAACCCTGACAAAAAGTTTTCATATTTGATAATATTTACAACAGTCAGAGTAACATTCAAAGTGCTACATGTGTAAAGTTGTCTAACGAAAATTTCGTTTGAGGCAAAAATTACTATCTTGTAGGCTTTTTGACAATCAGGTAGTTGCAATATAAACGGGAGCTAACGATGCACATTTGTTTTTCAAACACAGGCCAATAGTTTCTTCGTAATAGTAGCTCTGTTGAAGTTTTGCGGATGGTTCCCAAAACCTACTTTAAAAAATCGTCACAGATTGATCTAAAACCAAAATGAAACCCAAAAAATGTACCATCATGTCTTCCTTTCTTGCTTTCATGTACAACTTGGCAATAATTTTTTAATAAGCTGGCTATGGTTTACTCAGAATGGCACAGGAGACTGTTCAGTACATAAATGAATATTGCAGAGTTCATTTTGTTCTGCTTTACACGCCTCCAAACGCTTTAGTGTTGCTATTGCTCTCTGTTTGAGGAAATTTGGAAGGAAACAACTAAAGATGTGAGCGCTCAAGTACCAGTGTGTTGGTTAAAAATGTTTCAAAACTTACTTAAACAGCTTAGATTACTATTTTCTTTTGTGGATAATTTGTAGTTTCATTGGTATCACTAAATCTACCAAGACATATTTTAAGTTGTAGTAATAAATGAAGTGTTCAATTCTGCTATTGTTATAACGATGTAATTTGTAGTGTCAGAAGTAATATGCTGGTAATATATGAGTTACAGATCAGTTCACAGTTTTCCGAAGGTGCAAAATTTATGACATGGCTTGTCCTGTTGTAAGAAGTAAAATGATTGTTGTTGATCCTGTAATTTGATTGGGTGGGTGCGAGTATTCTGAAAGGAACTGTCGTTGGTGACTTTTCTCAGCATCTTGACAACCTGAGTGGAAGTCAACACTAGAGTCAAGTGCAGGGGTGTTTGTCAATTGAATTTAACAAGTCTGGTTGGTGACGTCCGATTGGTCAGTTTCACCATGATGGTATAAGCCTAAAAACAGGCACTTCTTGTTGGAATCAGAGGAGAGCAAGGTGGGGGAAAAGGGCAAGCAGCAACTCCTGCTTAGCATCTGCTCTCACCTTGGCTTGCCTGAATGGGCTAAAAGTGAAGGCCTGTTTTGCAGGCTAAGATGGGTTTAGGCGTAACACTCGATGTTAAATCTCAATCACTTATACTTACTGAGTGACTAAATTATTGGTAATGTTGAAAATTTCGTCTCTGAATGAATGCAATTTGTAAGGTAATAACATGACTTCTAGTGCAAATTGGCAATTGTAAGCATGAGTAAATTTTTCAAAGACTACAAAACTGCAAGTTGTAGTCTTAAAAAATTTTGCAAATGCTAATCAACACCAAATTGCACGAGAAATCACGTTCTTACTTGTTATTATGTTACATGAAAAAAGCATCACAAAAAGTGAAGGCAGAGAAGATTCACAAAGTTAAAGCATTGCACTTATGCCATAACTTTGCACTCACGTTACATGAAATATGCCCTCGTTTCAGCCAATCAGACGCGCGTAATTTTTCATGTATATTGTTAATGACATTACTTGCCGACATATTATTAGCAACAATAACAGACAGGAATTTTCCAAATTGGAATTGGACGATGAAGAGTAACCTCTGTGGTGTATTATAATATAAAGCTTAAAAAATAGTTTTCTAAAGCAGATACCCAGAAAGTTGATTTTACTGTATTTATTTGTACATTTATAGTTTAAGTATTTCTTCAGTGGAAAGAGGAAGGTAATCATAGCAAGATTTGAAACAACCAGCACGCTTAAACACGAAAACACCAGCATCTCTGTAATTTGAGGAGGACTTGATAGTGAAAAAACCCCAGAGTGTAAAATCATGACTATTATTCTTTTATTTTTTAATCTAAACAGCCCTGATACTGGAAAGAAAGTTATCATGGCCAAGGTTCCTGACACAATAACCACCTGGGTAGCAAGTGCTTTCGCTATGTCTGATTCAGCTGGACTTGGTATTTCACAGCCCACCTCGCTCAAGGTTTTCCAGCCTTTCTTTGTTTCCCTAACCCTGCCGTACTCTGTTATCCGTGGCGAGGAAGTGTCCATTATAGCAACTGTCTTCAACTATGAGAGCAAGTGTCTTACGGTAAGTGCTACCAACGGCAGGAGTAACTATGGTTCTTAATTTCTCTGATTTCTGATAGAATGAATTTACATCGAAATGGGATGCATCCTTTCCTGAATTCCTCAAACTTAGAAGCGTATACAGAGTGTATAGTTATGCATTTGCCGGTCTCCACGCATTACTTGTTTGTTATGGTCTAGCAAATTATGGAAAACCGTGGATGTACAAAATTTCTTGCTACTCATTTGGTGTAATGTTT